AAAATTGTAAAGTTACTATTCTTTCTTGATAATGTTTTTCTATAAAAAAAAAAATCTTAATAACTAAGAATTTATGATTTATAAGTTATTACTATTTTTTTCTATAGTATAATATCTCAATATAATAAAATAAAATATTAAAAAACTAATTATTTTATTTTAGTATTACTTCACTAGGAAGACAATTTAATCTCTAGTGATGGCGCCTCTTTTAGGAACTTAGAATCTGGCGCCAGAAGCGATTGACCCCCGTCACACCCCTCTCTTTCTAAATACGCCTCTGCGTATTGAAATAAATATAAACTTCGGTTCCGTATCGTACGGTCCGGCGAAATGAGTTTTATTAGAACCCGACCGAGAACGTCTCGTTGTTATTATTGTATTTTTCGGTTTTTTACACCGGCCGGAAACGGATTTTGTGAGTATATAATATAATATTTTTATCATCTTGAATTCTCGCTGATATTTTTATAACTTAAAAATGTTTTTTTTTTCTTTTTTTTCATTTATTTATATTAAATGTTCGTGGCTCGAGTATCAATCTTGTTTGGAATTGAAATGGTAAAGGATTAACTAGATGATGGGTCGAAACGGTTTAATAATTTCCCTGGAAATGGCTAAAATGTTTATGTGTATCGGGATGGCCAAATCGCGGCTCACTTTGAGCTGTATTTGATTCGCGTTTTATTTAAAAAAAACCAAAATTTAATTATTATTATTGTAAATTTTTTTTTTTTTTTTTTTTTGGTTTACATTTATAAGAAAAACAAAGTTTTTATTGTATAGAATTATAGAGTATAAAATACAGATAAAAATTTAAAAAAAAAATACAATAAATAAACGTGAATAATGAAAAAAATATAAACATTAAGTTAGATTTGTTTGTATTGATGTTAAGATATGATCATCAGTTAAATTTGAACGATATTTCGACTTAATTATTTTCACTGTTGAGAAAATCTATTTACACGAATATGCCGTCTCGAAAATAATTATTAATTTTATCACACAGTTTTTAATATTTAGGGAAGTATTTTAAAATAGAAACGTCATGCTTCCAAAAATTCAATATAGAAGAGTGTTTTTAAAAGTTTTTCATCTAGTCCAACAAAAATGATAATGATGAAATGGCTTTGATCGTGCAATGCGTAGATGATTTACACTTGGAATATGTTCTGTAAGGAGTTAAAGATAATATGGAATCGCCACGTTTGAACAAAGAAACATGTCTAATCGTCTATGTCTATAAACAAAAAAAAAAAATGTTAGCCATGAAATATAATGCCAAATAAATGTAAAATATTAGGTACAATTACAATTTGATGACTTACACCGACAAGTTCAGGCTGCTGGATGTAAAATCAAGTAGGATTGCATGTTTATTTTTGACACTACCTGAATCTTTTGTCGGAGCGACCCGTCGATGATAACAGTAACTACAAAGAAGGTAAAGCTGCATTTGGAATTTTTAAATTTTAGTTTCATTATTGAAATCTTTCTGGATACAAAACGAGTTTCTGTAGACAATTTAAGGCAGATTAGGAGAAAACAAAGAAAAATCAAAGAAAAGCAAATTTAACGGAAGATTATAGCGACGCTGAAAATCAAGGTTTTGCTTTCAACACTAATAATAATATAAATTTGGTAAATGATAGCGATCAAATTACTTGGTTTCTGAATTCGGGTGCAACGGATGAGTGCAAGGGTTATCAACTTCTTGAGATACATGCACCTTTGCTTACTATTTTATGATGCCATGTCCTTTCACTATAATAAGATTAAATTATGTTTATTATATATATCTTCTGAGTGGAGCGAAGAATTAAATTCTGTATCCTTCTGTATCCTACATTCCCAACTTTCTATTTACAACAGTGGCTGCACCCACGTGCAATGTATATCCGTCTTTTTAAATATTTAATGGATTTATTTGTTAGGAAAAAATATTATTATAATTTGAAATTATTAAGATAAATTATATTACATTCACTTTCTTAAATAATATTAAATTTTAAATGCATTATTATTAAGTAGATATAAATTAATGAAAGAGTTGGCATCGTTTAGTTCCAATCGATTTTTATATCGATTGGATAACACGTATCTCAGGTCACATTCCACCAAAATTTTCACGCCTCCCTAGGGGGACGCGCCCCCATGTTGAGAACCGCTGATCTAGTAAATAATTACAAATAAAGCCCATTAAAATATTAATTCCTCTGATAAAAATTGGTGTATCAAAAAAAAAAAAGGGTCGTGTATTACCTCATATAATTATTATTATTTTTTATGATGTCCATCTAATAATAATAAAAAAAACTTTAAACTTAATTAATTAAGTTCAAAATTCGGGACAGTTTATTGACAGTAAGCTACTTAATCAATTGCAGGTATCTACGTAGTAAATTTTAGCTAGATAATTATTGGACCAAGAAAAATTGTGTAAATAAAAACTTAAATAAAATGTACGATTGGTAGGCCACTGTTGTAGGTGAGAAGTTGTGGAGGTAGGATACAGAAGTGAATTTAATATATATATTTGTATGCAAAGATTATAAATTGCTAACGAAAAATGATTCTGAGTGGTGTTCGGTTATACATGTTTGAAGGCTGTGATAATTCCGATTTTGTCAAAATTTGATATTACAATTTTTATAAAACCAAAATTCTACATTATACTCAATTTTTTTTTTTACCATAAATCACTATAATGGGCCTGTGTTAAATTTTCAAAAATTTTTGTTTGATCTTAAAATTTTAATAGATAGTCACTTGGTAGAGTTTGTTCTTTTGAAAATTTTATCGTGTCAACATTTTCATCAAATTCGTGATTTTTAATAATTTTTGAAAGTTTCGCAAAAATAAATGTGCAGTCAATTAACCATAATAATAATCAATTAGCGAATGCAATTACAGCCTGTTGCATAGTTTTTGGTATTTATCTCTGAATTTTAATAAAATGACTAAAAATCACGAATTTAATGAAAATAAAGAGTTAAACCATCAGAATGTTTGGAAGGATAACTCCTTAATATAGCTATCTTCAAATTTCTCAAAAATAATAAAATTAAAAATTATTATTTTAGTTTTTTTTACCAAAACATAAAAAATTAATTGAAATATTTTTCAATATTCAAATACTTGTAGTTTTTATCATTGTGAAAAATAATAATAAAAAAAAAAAAAACATTTTTATTACTTCACGAGAATTTTCAATGCGTATATCTCCGTAATACATTCTGTATTATATAGAACTCGATGGATATATGCTACTTTAGTTTTCTAGATGACTAAATTGTTCACTATAAATATATCTATTGACTCTGTGGGACTAATTTATAAATTATAAGTTATCATATAATTTAGTAGGCACAAGGAGTGTTTTATGTAAGTGAAATGTAATTTTATATTCCATATTGAACTTACGTTATGTGTATGTAGTTTAAACTATACTGGTTTGAGAAATATATTTTATTTTTGGGGACTTTGATGTTAAATTATTTGCTGAAGCCCAAAAGAATGATTAGGTAGGTATAATCTTTTGTGAACCCTTACCTTACATTATAATTTTTTCGGTTAATTACTTCAAAGTTCAAAATATTTACTTTATGTTTTTATCTTACAAAAAATGAAAACTAATATTAAAACTAGCATACTGAGCTGTTTTATAGTATACTGTAATATACATGGAAGAACATGGAATATTTTCTTAGTAATTGTTTATTTTTGATTATCAGTTAAAAGAATTTGATATTTATTTAATTTCGATAAAGTTAAAACTTACAAGTATCATTCGTATATTTTCTTTATTCATTTATAAATGAAATTTTGGAACTATTAAAATATAGAAACAATATACATGCACATTTTATAAAAACAAGTAAAATTAAATATAAGTTGTTATAAATTTAATCAAAGTTACTTATAATTAAAAATGTAAAATATATAATTTTTATTTAAATTGTTTTCTACAGTAATTTATTTCATAGGAGCTCAGAACCATGTATCGGCCCCTAGGACGTTTTCAGAGAACATTAACCAAACTCCATACGTTACTTCTGTCCAAGTTGTAATCGTTTGATAACTCATATCCAGGTTTCAGACTTTTGTAGACTGATTATTTAGTTGGTTTATTTTAACTTGGTTACATCCGTACCGACCCAACAAATTTTACTAATTTGTCACATTTTTTTCTAACAAAATGCAATCTGATTAAGCATTACAAATAAAAATTTGTATTATGTATCCCTATACTTTTAGTGTTAAAAATAATATATATTTTTAAATACTTTTGAATTTAAAACTTTTTGAGCAAAGGACAATTCAAAGGCTTTTCAACTAATTTCATTAAACAATTAATTTGCGAATTTATGAAAACATTTTAAATGCGTCACGATACATTATTTTGTAAGATATCCCAAAACCTTATGTAAACGGTGTGTACCTTTGTACACATACTTAGCATATAGGTTTAAGGTATAATCAAACCTTACGGGATGTGACATAGTAATGAAACTAATTTTATTTTTTATACCTACTCATTGTGATCGTAATGCCATAAGATATCAGATAACGAAAAATCGTTAGGTACCCTTTATTTTTGTAAGTGGAAAATATAAGCCAGCTATAGATATATAGGCTATAAGTAGTAACTATTTTAGATTTTTTTCTATTGTATACTTATCTTTATCATTTTCTGTAAAGTTTGATTTACACACATTTTTGACTGGGTGATAATTCGTGTGAATGTCTTGGTTCGAGTTTCAATGTTTTCCAATTAATATCGAATATCTATCAAATTTCTTTACTCTATTGATGTCATCTTTTTTATTTCTGTTATTGACTATATTCCCGATCACGAATCAAGTATTGTTCCCTCATTTAATCTTAAAACTCATATTGACAGCATGGCACGTAAAATATTCAAGACGCTAGGCTTTATAACTTATTACCTAGTTAGGTTTATAATTGAAGAGTTTAAGCTTGCATTATCATTAAAGTCACTTTTCTTTTGTTATCATCGTTAAGTTAACTCTCAAATGGTAGTTTGTTCCCGGTATATAACCAACAACTATCGTCAAACCATACGAGTCCAATGTAAGTTTCTCACCTTTGCGTTCTTTTAGTAAAGCGTAGGTACCCACGGGCCTCATGCACTCAATCTTCAAACTCTCGGCTATCATCGACTTCTTAGTGATTTCTATTTCCTTAACAAACTTCTTGATGGTCGATTCGACTCCCCTTTGGCTAATTTGCGAGTACCTGCGCGACAAACGCGTAACTTTACTCATTTTTTGGTTATCCTATTACTTTACTAAATGTCTTGCTAAAACGCCATTAGTCATGAACTTGCTAAGAAGAAACCCTTTTTTTCTTGTATTAATTTCTCTTGATTGTTATTACCCGTAGATATTGTATAATTTGCTCCACTATAATAATGGACATGTTCCTGTAGTACCTATAGTATATTATATATTAATATAAGCGTATGAATAATATGTTTTCACTTTACATTACTAAAATGTGATTTATTATATTATATTCTATAATGTATTTTTTTTGAGTAGGTATATCCGAAATTTCAATTTAAATTCGTGAACATAATAATAATAAATTATTTTATATATATTTACCTACATTACGTGGGGTAGATTAATATTATAAGCTGTTAAATATCATTGGATTGTGCCGAAAATGTGTATTAAACATGTATTAAAATGATCATATAATAATAATAATAATAATAAAAAAAACTATAATGTTTACTATTTACTTCTTGTATTGCCAGAATCCAATTATAGAAAAGTCTTTGTAAAACAATTTAATAAGTTAGAATAGTTGTGTAGATACTAAAGAAGATTGTTCATCGAAAATACAATCATTTCTACGAGAAGAATAGTAAACTTTATATCTAATAGTAATAATAATTTAGTATCTAACATTATTTCTTAATTTAAAATAAAATTCGAACACATTTTACCAATAAACACTATACTAGGTATATATATATATAAAAAAAGGATTTACAATTTAAGAAATACAATTTCTTGTTTTAAGATTTAATTGAAAATTACATTTTACAGAGTTTCTTAAAAAGTTACCCATTTTAATAACTCCGAAGATAATAAAGATAATCCTATTCTGTTTTTTTTTTACATTATTTACGGAGATAAAGACTACAAATATTTATATTTGAATTGAGTTTTTATGTTTTGTTAAGAAAAAAAAAAAAAAATAATAATAACTTTGTATTTAATTATTTTTGAAAAATTCGAAGGTACCAATTCTATAGAGTTTATTCTTCTGAATATTTTGATGTTTTAACTTTTTATTTTCATTAAATTTGGGTTGTTTTTTATAATTTATCAAAGTTCAGATAAAAATAGTACATAGTCAATTTTAGCTAAAATAATTGTGTTTTAGAAATTATTATTCCGATTACCTATAATTATACAGCAGGCTCTAATCGAATTTACTAATTGACTATTAAACACTTTTTTCTGTGAATTTCAAAAATTATTAAAAATCACGAATTTAAGGAGGATGAAAAGTTAAAACGTCACATTGTTTAAAAGGTTTGAACTCTATAAAATGGCTATCTTCAAATTTTTTAAAAATAATATAATAAACAATTTTTTTTACCAAATTACAGAAATGTAATTCAAGTATAAATATTTATAATCCTCATCCCTGTGAGTAATATAAAAAAAACAGAATTCGATTATTTTCATTATCTTAGAGATATTGCAATTGGTATATCTTTGTGGGGTACCCTATATATAAGTATATAACACTTATATACTTGGAATGTATTAAAATATTTTAAACTATAAGAATAATCATTTAAAAATATTTTTCAATATAACTTATTTTTTTTAGGTGATTTCAACGATACCTTTTGTTTGTGAATCTACCAAAGCTGTCGAACACGATAACATCAATCTGTGTGGTAAGTTAAAATTTTTTGTACCGTTTTAAAATAAAATATTTTGATTTTATTGGTTAGAATTGAATACTTATGCAAAGAATTAAACAAGCGAAATTCTATAAAACATATTAATCGTATGTATTATATCATATGTTTTGTTTATAATTTGTATTAGTTTATTACTGTATTCAAATGATAAATGTCTCAGAAACTAAAAAAAAGTGGCCTACTTCTTTTTGGTTTTACGGTTTGATTTCTGTATTAGAAAATCCGAATTTCACTCTATACTTATAAAATATACATTATGTGTGTATATTTTGTATGTAATATATTGCCAATTTAAAGTCAAGTTTGATGTTTTGGAGGGCGAATTTTATTGCTCTGTCATTAAACAAAACGCACGATGACAGAAGATTAACGTACTTCATTTATCTCGGTGTAGAAACAGCTATAAATTACCAAATCATGAGTTCTATATAAATTCCCTATACACATCATTATTTATTATGTTTCAAGAAAAATTCACATATGTTTTTTTTTTCAATTTTGGAATTTCGAATCCAGTAAGTATTTTTATTAATTTAAAACATTTAATAAAATAAATTATTTCAATTGTATTCCGCCGTCAAGAACCTGAAACTATAATATTAGTATGCTGTACTATTATGGTAGTAACTATGAAGGATCATATTATTGCAATCAATATCATGGTCTTAACTAAAATATTAACCTAAAATTATATAATTTTCCTGTCTATTGATATTCATTTCAAATTACTAGGAGGCATTTAACAATAATAATTACGACGGTATTAGATACTAAATTTAATAATAATATTATATCATACATATTATATATGTGAGGTACATAAATAGCCGTGAGCGTACTCGAAATTTGATTTATTATATTATTTACTACGGTAGATAGGTACTGCTATAGATTTAAAAACTAAATGCGTTGTGATTATAGGAATATTTATCGTATACAAAACAATCTAAGACGACAAAAACTTAAAATTATTTAATTTGTAACTAACTTCAAAATAATAAAAACGTGTATGGAAATTATGTAATTTTTACGATTTTTATTAAATATGACATTAAAATTCTTAGGTATAAAATAACTACTACATTACACTCATTTGTATTTATTTTTTAATATCAAATGCAATTTATTATAAACCTTGTGATCAAGCATTTTTGATCAGTCAAGACAGTTGCATTGATTTATAAAACTTCAAAAATGTTAAATCTCTTAATTAATTAATTAAATATCTTTTAATTTTAAGAATAAATTTTAATTTACCGGAATCGAAAAAAATATTTGCTGTAAAAACAAATTTAAAATGATATTGAATATCATTTACTTGTAAATTTAATATTAATTACAAATAGAAACAAAACATACTTCCTAACGTTAGTCAACTAAAAATAGCAATATACACATAGTACATAATTAGGTATACCTAAACTATATAGTATTTTTTAGATTCCGGGTGAAGCGAAAAATGTATTGGATTTACTATGATGCGTGTGCGTTTTTTTTTTGTATGTATTTTTTTTGTTGATATCTGCGTTACCTTGCCTGGGAATAATCGTCTAATAGTATTATATCTGGAATCGTATTTCGTTAGAAATGGTTAATTGTTGCATTCATATATACATTAAGTTACTCTACATACTGTAATTCTTCCAACTTCACTCTTAAAACAGTGACACAATCATTCATCAGAATTGTCATGTTTTTTTTTTTTTACTCGTTTAAAATTTAAGTACGAATATATTTTATTTTTAATAGTCTAGATATTATCCCCGAGAAGTTTTTGATTTTTGTCACCAGGACGATATTATCGCATTACGATTCCGTGAATTTTATATCTTTGAACTACTTGTTCGAAATACTTGTACACGATTAATAAAACGTGTATAATCTCATTGCTACACTGGTATGGAAAACGGCAAACACTCGCGCCATAGTATTACGTATTTATATGTATTTTAAATAGATTGCGATTTACGCGTATGTCCTTTTGGCCTCCACTCGACTACCAAATGCTGCACATATCGATTGACCGCTGTATGCTACCTTCTAGTTTTTATTATCTTCCGTATTCCGCCAATCGATACGCACGTCTGCTTTTGATTGTAATATAGGCAACAGCTACACACACACACGCAACAGCCATGTTCACCTGTTTACAGTGCGCAACAGTTATCGACATATTTCTTTGGTCCTGGAGATGAACGGCGTAAATCAATTTTTTTGTCTAAATTCCATAAGTGTTTTCAATTTGCTTGTATTGAAAAATATACAAAATTGATTGAAGCTCTTGAGACTAAAGGTCGTGTATCTTAGTTTCCGGTCTAAGGTTTTACCACGATGACCTGTTTAATTTTGGATTCGGAGCAATTGTACAGACAAGTACAATAACATAATTATATGAAATCCAAAATCCACTAAGCATTGTTTTATACTTTAGTAATTTTCGTGTTTCGGTATAATTTTTATCAGTATCTTCAGTAGAAGATATCGAGTATTTTGTTTACGATATTTGTCTATTTATGTGAAATAAATTGTTTAAGTTAAAAAAATTAATACAGAAATTATTCTTATTATTAGTTCTTATTTTAAAACGGTGTATTCCATTGTCTATTTTATGCTTTAACATTTTCACTGTCGCTCACTCACGAAATTTTCATGGTTCGGGCTTTAAATTTTATGCCTTTGTAATTTTCCCCTCTGAGCAGGTATACTACGTTTCTGTTACCTTTTAACATTTGAATTGCATAACTGAAAAACTATTTTGCTTTCTAGGGGGAATTTCGCCTTTACATGTTATCCTTTTGTAAATAATTTCTACTATTTCCTTTGATGTATACGTTTTATCCGCAAAAAATAAATACATTTTTGAAGGGATTGGATTATTTGTATTATACGTTAATGATGTTGACGAATCAAATAGTTTACCAGAAATTACTTTCTTTTGAAATATAATATGCACATTATTGTGTATAATATTAAAGAGTATGTAATTATGTACTCGCATTTTGTATTAGTAATTCCTAATCTGGAGTACTGGTATCAATTGGTTTTTACAACGATTAATTTTGACACTAAAACGATTTTAACAATGCAATATAATAGATTTCGTTACTACGTACGGACATATTAAATATCAATGCATAAACATTTTATTTCATATAGGTGTAGCATGCATGTTTTATTGAATGCAGTTTTATTCAAAATAAAGTACATAAAAAATAACTTTGAATTTAATTTATAATATATGGACCCACAATATAAATATGTTCCGACGAATGTAATATTTTATTCTATCTATAAAACCTTAATATTAAAAGTATA